AATTCATATATTCCTAATGACTAATTAAGTTAAACATGTTTTTGTATGTTTACAGGCCATTTTAGTACCTACTTTTGTGAAATATCCATTCAAGCCTTTTGCCCAATTTTCCTATTATATTGCCATTTTCTTATTGACTTGAAGGATTTCTTTATTCTAGATTCAAGCCCTTTGTATATATAATAAATACCATCTCCCACTCTGTGGATGGCCTTTCCATTCCCTTGATAGTATTTTATTCTTACAATTTTATTCTTAATAATAGAGTATGCTTACTAATTTTTATTAGCATCCTTTGTTTCCTATTTAAGAAATCTTTGCCTACTTCAAAGTCACAAAGATGTTCTGATGGATGAGGTTGGACTTAACTACTTTGTGCTTCAGTTTTTCAGTAAAAATTAGGCTAATAATAGTACCTTGTTTAATGCTTTATTGTGAGTATATATGTATATATACTTATATATAATTATATATACACTTATATGTGTGCATGCATATATACAGTTATGTAACATGTTGAGGATAGTATAAATGTACACATATGTAATATGCTTAAGGTAGTGCTGGCACATAGTATACACTTTGAAAATATTATTGTCTGGCCTTTTCAGAAGCAAAACCCTTTATCAGTCACATCCCTATCACATAATCCCCTCCTACTTGCCATGTTTTATGGTTTCTTGGTGAATTTGTTTTCCTCACATGCAGACTGAAAAAATAATAGAAATAATGAGAGAAGGGGTGAAGGAGATGATGGTTGGAGATTTTACTGATAAGAGGGAAAGTTACGTAGTATAAGGGGCAACAAAGCTGGGAAAGCAATAAAAAGAGAAAACTGGTAGAAAATCTGAAATGCCACTTATTTACTTTCTTTAAAGAAATCTTTGGTAGTCCGATAATTGACATCATATCTGACTAATAGATATTTATATATTAAGTTTTTTTATTTCAGTAGTCACTGATGCAGACATATATAATTATGGTATAAGAAGAAACTACTTCTGCAGAATATAGAATATATACATATTTGATCTGAATCTATAAATGCTTCTCCACATAGACTTTCTGTGATTTTGGCATACTCTCCTTTCTAAGAATGAGGTGTGTTTTTCGTTTGTGTTACGGCATAGAAAGAAGAGCCACTAGGAATCCTCACAGCTATAATCTAAATAGGCCTTCAGAATTATATTTCTAAAAGTCAAAGACTAAGTCAATAATTTCAAGTGTCACCTTGTCCTCAAATAAGGTTTTATTGTGATGGATTGTGACATAATCTGTTGATACAATAAGGCGCCTATTATGTTACAGAGACAGTTGGCTGAAATAATAGTTTTCTTTATGATCATAGCAATGAATTGTCTTTCAGATATTATTGATTTCCTAGCTATGATGACTACAACTTGGATTTCACCATCAAAATAAAATTTATGAGGGAGAGGGTTAATTACATTCTTATGGGAGACTATAAGGACATCTGTCATTTCCATGTTAGATGTTTGATGTATGCATGCCTGTATATTGTATTTAATTTTCATACAGGGAGTTTGATATAAATGTATATACATCAACTAGTATAAAAAGCCTTATTATCAAATAAGGTGGAGCCCTATTATTACTTGATTCAGTATGATATATATATATATATATGCGATTATATCCTATGCATTCAGACTGAGCTACATAGAGGAGGTGTCTCATATATTGCCAAATAGTTTAAACAACAAAGGTTCGTCCTCTTTCATGAGAATAACGATGTAAAGGGTACATTACACCAGCCTTTGTGTTGAAATACCTGCTCATTTTATTTTCAACTTTTTTTCCCCCTCAGTGAGTCTGAGTTTTACAGAAATTAAGCATTTTCTTGTGGGGTGCAATGCATTTTGGCCAAATTTCTTCTTGTATTTCCCAATGACTTTTGGGTATCTCAACGTGAAGAGAAATGTTTCCCAAAAGTAGCTGCAGCAGCAAAATCTGGAATAAGGTGACACAGTGTTGAAAAACTGCAGAAAATGCACTCTGTCCCATTCATTTCCCATTTGCAAAAACTTGCTTTGAAGCAATCAACCTTGGTGAGACAATATTAAAAGCAGGTTTTAAAAGTAAAAACAGCAAGGTTAAGGTGAGGGAATTGATGAAAACATAGTTTATATTTATTCAGAAGTACTTTAAAACAATCTGTGTTTAACATGGCAAATTGTCTGTCATTAAAATGCTAATGAAATGGTAAACAGCTGCTAAGTTTTTTATGCTAATGAAGGGTGGCAGTTTAGTAGCTCTCAAGCCTTGAGTTTATTAGCATAGAAATTTGATTGGATAAGGGGATCATTGTACATTCTGACCTTTGTTGATGGAGCAATCTGTTTGTCAAGTTCCATGTTCCGTTCTGTTTGATTTTAGTTTGTTAGTACTCTTGCCAGGCCCTCAGGGGCCTTGTATTACATAGTTGTTATCCAGCCACCATCATGAGCTTAGAATTTTCTTTTGTGGGGGGGAGACCTACCATGGCAAAATAATTATACATTTGTTCATGAGGCAGCTTTAAATAGAATAATTCTGTAAAATGATTATACTTTAGACTTTAACAACAATAATAATTGTAAATTGTAAAAGGCTGTTGATCTAATAAATCTGTTTTTAACTTAGCTAAGATTTTGCAGCAAAGCTTTTAAAATAAATATTTTAATAAGTGCCTTTGCAACATTTGACATATTATAATCGTCTTGTATCTACAAGTTCTGAAAGTTAGCAATGAATATAATGTTATCTACATAGAAGAATAAGTATAATTAAATACAGGTGGCTTATGTGGGTGCCAGGCTGAGATCAGAGTACTTACTTTGGCATCAGGAAAACAACCATTACTGTTTGATCTATACTTTTGGCTGATTCTCTTTTTTTTTTCCTAATGGTTGGGGTTAACCTGAATGAAGACTTGTCATTACAGATAAATGCTTCAGGTGCCTTTCTCTTTTTTTCTGTTTTTAGGTTCAATGTAAATGAGGTATGACAGTCTATCAAACACCATTGCCAATAATGTTCTGGGATGATTCAAAATATGATGCAGAGTTTATTAAGGAAATTCATTACCAAAAATATCATTGAAATAGGAATTTTAATTATTTTGGGACACTGTATAAGAACATTGGTGGAAATTTTAATAGTTGGGAGCATTTTCCCATACTGTTCATTTCTTCTTGAAGTAAGAAGGGGATTATATGCATATAATAATTTGGGGTCCAATATATGCATACAGGAGAAATTGGAATCCTTCCAGGGGTGGGGAACATTTTTCTGCCAAGGGCCATTTGGATATTTATAATATCATTTGTGGGCCATACAAAATTATCAATTGAAAAATAGCCTGCTATATATGGTCAAACACTTAATTAACTCACCCCTGATGCCTTGGCAGGGCCAGACCAAATGATTTCACAGGCCTTATATGGCCCGTGGGCTAGAGGTTCCCCACCCCTGTATACACGGCTGGTGGTAACATAAAATAGTCCAGCTGTTTTGGAAAATAGTCTGGAAGTTCTCAAAAGGTTAAACCACGTGGTTACCATATGATCTAACAATCCCCAATTCCACTTTTAGGTAAATACCTAAAGAACTAAAAACATACGTACATATGAAAACTTAGGAACAAGTGTTCATAGCAGTTTTATTAAAAGAATAGCTAAAAAGTAGAAACAACCCAAATGCCCATCAACTGATGAATGAATAAGCAAAAGGTGGTACATCTACAGTGGAATATTAGCAAGCCTTAAAAAGGAATGAAATTCAGATATATAAGACAACATGGAAGAACTTTGAACACATTATGCCAAGTGAAAGAAGACAGTCACAAAAGACCTCATACTGTATGATGTCATTTACATCAAATGCCCAGAATAGACAAATCTATAGAGGCAGAAAGTAGATTAGTGGCTGCCAGGAACTGGGGGTGTTGGGAGGAAATGGGGAGTGACTGCTAATGGGTATAGAGTTTCTTTTAGGAATTATGAAATGTTCTAAAATTGTGGTGATGGTTGCAGAACTCTGAACATGCTAAATAAACCATTGAATTATACACTTGAAGAGGCTGAATTGTCTGGTATGTGAAATAGATCTCAAAAAAACTGTTACATATTTTTTAAAGGCATGCAGTGCCAGAGCCTGTCTGGCAGAGCACCGCCTGCACCAGCAGTAGCTTACCTGCAGTATGTGGAGGCCACCAGGTAAAGAAGAATGCTTGCTACTGGAGAGGAGTGCTTTAAATCTCCTACACATGGGTTAGGCCATATATCTAAAAAGGTCATAGCTAATATCATTGTTAAAAGGGATAGTTGCTAAAATAATACAAGGTTCATTAGAAACAAAAGTTGAAGATAAAAATTTGAGTTCCTGTCCCAACTCCTCTCTGTGGGACAGACGCAGGTTGTAATAACCCCTTTAACCCCTCACTACCCATTTCCCACAAAGTAAGGGCAATTTTCAGTTTGTTTTTCTAGAGAACAAATTGTTTGCATCATAACTTTCTTAGGAGCAGACAGTAACTCTAAGAATCCAATATTCCTTCTCCTTGTAAAAACCCTATAATTATCTCTGATTTGCATAAAACATGCCCACTAGTCACCCAATAACTGTATAGTGAAGAGCATCTGGCTTCAAGAGGCTCCTCCCGCTTCTCCTACATTTTTGGCTAATCAGAGACAATGGTTAGACAACAGGATGATCTCATCCTGCCCCACCTGCCAGCAGGATCAGTGTCCTGTTTATCTCAGGGGAGACTGAGCAGCCTGGGCTCTCGCCATAGGGAAGCATTTTGCATCACTCTCTTAGACAATGAGCAAGAAGACCCATTTTAACTGTATTTCCTCCTCTTGTGCCATTTTCTTACTTCTAGAGTAACGTTCTTGCTTGCAGGTTGCAGCTCAGCGGTCTTATTTTTGCACCCTAGGTTGGAGAAGGAGATGGATGTGAGCTAAAGATTGAATTTATTTTTGTTTTGTTCTTGGCAGGCAGTACATGCCACACTACTACCCTTCCTGCTCTTGTGCGCACACCTACTCTGATGATGCAGCCTTCACTGGATATCAAACCATTTATGTCTTTTCCAGTGGACAGTAGTTCTGCTGTTGGACTCTTTCCAAATTTTAACACAGTGAGTAAATGCATTTTTATTATGTGTCGTCCTCTATTTCTTTTGTGAATAGGCAATTGGTATGGCCTGTTTCTAAAGTTTGTAATTTTAGACCATATATTGGTTATACTGTTCAGCTGTATTATAGAAGATAAATGTGTCACCCATGGGAATTAATCCAGATAATAGCTAGCATATTTATTTTACAAGTATTTCCACAGACAGATTTTCACATGTTGCTTTGAACAATTTTGATAAACTTTTCAGTGGTGTGAGAATCCATATTATTTCTGGGATGCTGTTCACATGCTCAAGAACACAATTTAGAGCTATGAGCCACATTGATTTTTCCCTTCTACTATAAAGAAAAAAAACGTGTATGCTTTATCTCCCTGGGTATATTTTTATTTGGGAGATATTTTAGATAAGCACTCTTACACAAACAGAATTTTTATTTGGAGCCTTTTGTGGATTATGAGAATCTGACTCTATTAGTAAAAAGAAAAATTCATTTAAATCTGCATATGCGTTGTCTGGATGACACCTTAACATCCCATTTAAAATGTAAGATAGCCCGGCTGGCATGGCTCAGTGGTTGAGCGGACCTGTGAACCAGGAGGTCACAGTTTGATTCCTGGTCAGGGCACTTGCCCTGGTTGTGGACTCAACCCCCAATGTGGGGCATGCAAGAGGCAACCAATCAATGATTCTCTCTCATCATTGATGTTTCTCTCTCTCTTTCCCTCTCCCTTCCTCTCTGAAATCAATAAAAATATATTAAAAATAAAATGTATGATAAATATTAGAGGATTATCTGTTATTACCAATGTTCTTTATTCAGGTCAGCTGACCTTCAATCTGAATAAAAGACATTTTGCAGGTTAGAGAAGTACAGCATTCTTCTGTACTTCTGCCAACAATAGAATTCAGCATAAAATCAGTCCATAATCAGATTACAAATGTATAGTAAGAGAAAAGACTAAAACCAGTTGAGGTGATTGCATGAGTTATGTCTGGTTTGTCAATAAATACAGTCAGTTGGGCATGATGGTTGACATAAAGAATACAGCATTATAGAAGCTGCTGTAATCAAGAAAAAGAATTACATTATCAACACCACCAGACCTCGAGCATCTGCAGTACTGCCAAATGTTTCCTTTTGCAAACTTAGCTTTTGTATGAAATGAAAACAGCAAGAGGATGATTTCTCAGGGGCTGTAAATAAAATCTGCTGACAGGCCTTCTGTTGTGGCTTTGCATTGGTAAGGTAATTAGAAGTTAGGGGATCAGCCAACTTTTTAAGGAGAACTGGCCTTGACTGACTGAGTAAACAGTTGAATGTTTTTTTCTTCCTTGGGTTTTTCAGGGACAAGTCAGACAGTACTTTTAAAAAGGCATTAAAAGGTGAGCATCATTTGTAGTGCCGTGGAACAGCTCGGTAAGATAGATGACACCTGCCCTGGTCACATTACTCCATCAGAAGTAACCCCAAAGATGGTGCCATTTCAGGGAGCTTGAACTCAAGCATGACTGTTGTAGACTCTACTGAAACACAGGTGGCATATTCCAAACATCACTAAATTCAGTTATTTACTTCTTAAAACATTTAGCTGGTGTTAGTATTTTGATTAATGCATCTTTGGAAGACAGCGTTTGTAACTATTGCACAAGTCCAGTTGCTGTCAGGAGGTAGCATTGATGATGTGGGTAGGCACAAGTGGCTCCTCCTGTAGTTCACTTCTGTATTTTTTTTAATACAAGTAATACATAGATACTTATTTCTAAGATTCAAATAAAACATTAACATCCAAAGAGCAAATACATATATACATAACCCATGGACACAGACAATTGTGCTGTGAAGGCTTGGGGAGGGGGTGGAGCAGGGTAGAGGCAGTCAATGGAGGTTTAAGGGGGCATCTGTAATACTTTCAACAATAAAGATTAAAAAATTTTCTTAAAGAGCAAAATATGACGTTCACCATTCCCTACTCCTGCAAACAAACTTACTCCCTTCCAGAAGTATGTTATGTACATACCTAAAAGGAACACAATCACAGTTGTCTTTTTACAATTGTGATCAAATTAACACTATTCTCTAAGTCACTTTTTTCAGTTATCAAAGTGCCTTACATATACCTCTAAGTTCTTAAGGATTGTAAAACAAAAAAGTGGAAAGAATATGTTCATAAAGGGTTTTTTTTAAAAGATAAAAATAGTGTTATTATGGCTTATAATATGTGTAGGGCTTACTCATTTACTAATTTGTCTTTTGTTTGTTTCTGTATTATACATAGTAATTAACCTTATGATACATTTGAGAATATCCAAGGAATAATTCTAGTAATAGAAGTTCTTTTTTTCTTTCCTTTCTTGGAATAAAATAAACTTGTAATTTTCCAATGAAAATACTTTTTGGTTAAGGTGAAGAATATAGCAAAGAACTATATTAAGTAATAATTTTCTCTATATATTACACCAAAGGCATTTATTAGACAGAGAGCCCTTTTGATAGTATGTTAAAAATTAAGTCATCACAGGGGACCCTCTATCATCTTGTAACAAAATGAATTTCTAGGATCATAGGAATTTCCTATGATTTTTTTTCACTAAGCTGCAGTTTTAATTACTCTAACCTTTTCTCTAGAGGTTTTTCCATTCTAGTGCCAAACTTCTCCCAACTGATTTCCTATGGTAATTTCATAAAAGTTTTTGTTAACATTTTCCTAGAAAACCATTTACATCACTAATAATAATGATACTAGATTATTACATATTTGTGCTGGGTTATATCCTTCAAAGGACCCAGACTTTAGAATATTTGGGTAGACCATGATTATTATCTCTATTGTCTAGAGGAGGAAAGAGAGTTAGTAAAGGAAGAACTGAGATTTGAATTAGAATCTTCTAACTTTGAAACTCTTCTGTGTCATTAGCTCTTCTGGTCCATGTCACTTCCCACCTCATTCATTGTGAACAAAGCTCAATCAGAAACCTTTTGTGTTCTTTTCTGAAAGCATGGTAGACAATTTTCACTGGAATCAAAAGGAGAAAGAGGAAAGGATTTTTTTTCCCATCACTACTTATCCCCCCATACCCTCTTGTTTGAATGCATAATATGGGCCTCTCTACAAACAATATCTATTAAGCAGAAGATATTTTTAAAACAATTATAATTTCTTATTAGCCAATTTTCGTGTCTGCCATGACGAAGTAACGGCTTGAGCTAAAGCAGACCCATTATTAGCCAATTTTAAAAGTATATTCTACTAAATATACTTTTATATATTCTATTAAATACACTTTCAGTAATCCACTTGTTCTTTGAAAACCGAAGTGAACACTACTTTAATCACTTTATTTTCAAACAAGGATATTAGTAAATATAAGAATTATTTTTAACTAATAGTTATCAGTAGAATGAAAACACTGTACTTTGTGAACATAGCTAAAAGTCGAGAAATTCAAATTTTGCTATTTTTTAAAATTTTATTAAATTTATTGGGGTGACATAGGTTAATAGGGTCATATAGGTTTCAAGTGTACATTTCTATGATACATTATCTATATATTGCATTATGTGACCACCTCTCAAAGTCAAATCATCTCCTGTCACCATATATTTGGTCCCCTTTTTCTTTTCCTCTCCCCACCCCCTTCCCTCTAGCAACCACCTTATTGTTGTCTGTGTCTATGAATTTCAGTTTTATATCCCACATATGAGTGAAATCATATGGCTCTTAGCTTTTTCTGACTGATGTACTTTGCTTAGTATAATATTCTCAAGGTCCATTCATGTTGTAACAAATGGCAGTATTTTGTCTTTTCTTATGGCTGAGTAGTAGTCCATATTATATACATGCCATATCTTCTTTATCTAATCCTCTATTGAACGACACTTTGGTTTTCTGTATGTCTTTGTCACCATGTTTATGGAGCAAATAATTTTTGACAAAGGAGCCAAAAAACACATGGAGAAAAGAAAGCATCATTATTAAATGATGCTGGGAAAATGGGAAAGCCACATGCAAAAGAATGAATCTAGACTACAGTTTGTCCCTATATTCAAAAATTAATTCAATATGTATCAAAGACCTATGCATAAGATATGAAACAATAAATTACATAGAAAAAACCATAGGTACTAAACTTATAGACCTTACTCGTAGAGAACCTTTTTAATGAATTTGACCCCAAAGGCAAGGGAAGTAAGTGAAGGCAAAAATAAATAAATGGACTATATAAAAATAAAAATCTTCTGCACAGCAAAAGAAACTGCCAACAAAACAAAAAGGCATCCAACCAAATGGGAGATATTTGCAAACAACAGCTCTGACAAGGGGTTAATATACAAAATATATGAAGAAGTCATATGGCTCAATACCAAACAAATTATCCAACTAAAAAATGTGCAGAGGACCTGTGCAAACACCTCTCCCAAGAAGATCTACAAATGGCCAACAAATATATGAAAAGATGTTCAACTTCACCAGCTAGGGAAATGCAAATCAAAACTACAATGAGATACCACCTCCCACTGGTTAGAATGGCTGTTATCAAGACTGGTAATAACAAGTGTTGGAGAGATTGTGGAGAAAGAGGAACCCTCACTCACTGCTGGTGGGAATGGAAACTGGTACAACCACTGTGGAAAACAGTATGGCAGCGCCTCAAAAATTAAGAATAGGGTTACCCTGTGACCCAGAAACCCCTCTCTGGGTATCTACCGAAAAACTCAAAAACATTCACAAAGACATGTGCATCCCTAAGTTCATTGCAGCATTATTCATGGTGCTATTTTCTTTATGTGGATTTAATGTATAGATGGAAATCACTGATAATTTATGATATATATGCAGAGTGTCTCAAAAAACGTATACACACTGTAACAGCTGGTAGCTCAATTTTGAAAATTAAATGTATTTTAATAAACACTGCCTTTATAATTATTCAAAGTGTGTGTATGCATTTATATATAAAAGTATATATACTTCTCTCTCTCATTACGTAGATATATGTAA